GAGGATTTCGGACCGGTAAGGTACGACCTCTTGGAAATCTCAGATGCGGTGCGTGAAGCCTACGCCAAACAATGCCTATATAAAGGCACCAACCCAAATGACATAGGGTGTGCRCGATTATTTGCTCACTAGCTTACTAGCAAACAAACTTTTAGCTCGCATAACCCAGTACTGAACTTGCGCCATCTGCACTCTTAGCTCTCTCTTTGCATTCCCTACAGTTCTCTCAGAGCTCTAACTTAAGCATCGGAGTGTTCCCGCCGGGTGAGCTCCCTGGGAATTCTTCACCTCCCTCTTTTTCTCAGGTACCGTCCGTCGCCAGATAGGAGCCAGGTTTCCTCCAGGTAGGAGTGTTTGGATCGCACAACATCAAACATGAATATAGCGGTATTTACCCAAAATACCCTAAAAATTCATGATGAGTTATTTAATAACAGTATTTATTATTTTTTGGTAATTTACTAACTATACTAATAAGAATATTTCATTTTTGGTAATTTACTAACCTTATTTATTAACTTTTGGTAATAACACTATTTAATACTCATTATGGGTTGGATTAAACATTAACCGTATTTAACCAGTTATTAATTAATATGAATATTTTAAATGAGAGAGAGTGGATATAGACTGTGGAGAGATTTTAGGAATTGATTGGGGAGTGGGGTCACATGATATGTTCCTAATGGCTTAGAGGAGGAGCTCACACCAGGGCAAGCCCATTAGTGCAAACTTTACAGCCTTGCATTGAGAATACCTTAGGAGAGAGATTGCAAATGTAAGGTTGGAATGAGGGTTGGAACGGTGTGGGCACGGGCTTTCCCTAAGGGAAGCTGATTTATTAGAGGAGATACCTTAGGAGAGAGATTATAGGTAGTTAGGTTGGGAATGGTGAATGGTGACATGGCTTAATGGGAGTGGTGGGAAGAGGATAGGAGATAGAGAGTAAAAGAGAATGCAGGGTGGGGGTAATGGAGCAAGGAGAGGCACGTTGATGTGGATCGTAATGCTAGTATATATATATATACTAGCGGGGAACCGTGCCATGTACGTGCTTTGTTAAACAAAAGTTAAACAATAGAAATACATAGGAGTATATAATTGCTTTATATTTTAAATTTAAAATAACCAATCTCGAATTTGACCAGAGTTGGTCGATTTTCTAGTATTTTCGATCGACTTTGGTTTAGCAATTTTCCAATTCGACCAAGTTAGGTAAGTTTCGATTTGATCATTTGTAAACCAACCAAAACCGAACCGACTGGATCATATATATATATATATATATATAAATTTTTTATATTTTAAATATAATTTTTTTTAATATAAGAAAGTGGGAAAATTTCCATATTTCTTAGTTTAAAATATTTTATATCATAAATTTAAGTTTTTTAAATTTATTTTTAAAATAACACTATAAACAAACAAACCAAACCGAAAATAAACCCAAACTGATACAACCCAAATTGGAGGATTTCACTAATGGTCAATCAATTTTGGGTGACAAACTCCCAACCTAACCAAGTTTATTTGGTTGGTGAAACAGCCTGCAACCAAACAACCAATCCTTGAACACTCCTAATTTCAACTAAATTAATAGTCTAATCTCTAAAAAATAACAATAGTTTAATCTCCAATAATTATTGAAAATTTTTAGAAAAAATACACTATTATTGAAAATAAATTTATACTGAAAATACTATAGATATCTAATAAAAATACAATTACTACAAAAACACAATAAATACTAAAAATGTACTAAATTAGTCAATAAATAGGGTAATCTCTTATAAATATTAATCAATAAATTATAAAAAATACATAATTACTAAAAATATACTAAATTAGTCAATAAATAGGGTAATCTCAAATAATAGTTTAATCTCTTATAAATATTAATCAATAAATTATAAAAAATACATAATTACTAAAAATAAATTTGTAACAAAAATACAATAAATGCGATAAATTAAATTTCAAAAGTTAAATAATAGTTGTTTAATCTCCAATAATTTATCCTGATTTTTTATCAATAAATTTAAATATAGACGAGTAAATTTTGTCATAAATTCCAGAATATTGTTGAGACCATTGGTGCTTTTTAAAATAGTATATATATATATTAAATTATTAATTATTCCATTTTAAAATAGTATATATATATATATATATATTAATTATTCCGTTTTTCTTTAAGATGTTACTTTGTTGATGTTATCTAATTCTCAAAACAAAATACCTTTTATGTGGGTCCCACAAGTTTTATTTTGGGGATTTTATGATTGCAGTCCAAAAATCCCTTTATTATTTCTTATTTTCTGACTTCTCTGTGGGACCCAATACCACAATGTATTAGAGCTGCTTGAGAAAATGAGAAATGATCTTCAATATTGATTTATTTTTCCTGACATATATAGGCGCCACCATCCCTGTGCGGACAGGAAACATCGTGTGAGGATGTCTGGGAAACCCCTCCCTCTGTCGTCTGGCCCGTYTGCACCGCGTCAAAGTCTTACTCTTATCAGTGGTATGGATGGCCCGCCCAAAGGTTTGAATAATTGAACCGGTCTCACGGGTGTGGATCACATCATCAGATACTAAATTAAGCCCTAAACAGTCCAATGAAAACAGGGGCCAACCCAGGTTTGGTATACGAGGACTGTTAATCATGCACCTTCCATCCAACTATTGGTTAGATTAACGTTGGCATAAATAATCTCTCCAGATCTAGATCATGGTATACGCAATCTGCAAGAGTTACGGTAGACCATGACCACCTCACCAGCCACCAGGTATAAGGGTGACGTGGCCTATCATGTTCCTACAGCTACAGTTACCGAAGAGGATCGTTGCAGAACTTGTCTGAACACGGGTAAGTCAAAAACACAAAGACATCTCCTTACAGGAAAGTGAATATTATTTAGCCAGAACTTGTAAGACCAGGTCCACCAATGGAAGCCGGACTAGCGTTTTCCTGATCGTGTTGAACTGAAAGGCGAGAAGGAATGGGCTTTGACCAAAACTTGATTGCCACCGCCACGCCACCTACTCGACCCAATTACCATGATAAACAAAGTTTCTATAGTTGTTTGATTTCTTTCTTAAACCCTATATATCCGCACGTAGTTGCCGAACAACAAACCACAGACGTGAACCAAACGCGTTGAATTTGGAATAATTAAGATCTGGGTGGAGTTGAACTTCGAAGAGTTCTGGGCGTGAAGTTTGGGTTTGGGGTTTTATTAGTCGGACCCATGTGATGCATCATACATGGGCTTTGTTGTGAGAAATTGAGTTAAGAGTCTTATGATATTCGTAATTGAGTAAAGTCAGATTAAATCCATTTCAAGTTTTTTTTTTGTTATGTATTGTTTGATAAAGTTGCCTTAATTTTCATTTATTTCTTAATAATGTTTATTAAGTTTTATTCTTGTTCGATAAATTTGATTTTTTATCACTTTTCAATTAAATTTAAATGAAAATTTATTTATTTATTTATTTATTGTTTGCAATGCATGCACTTTGTTAAGTGAAATTAAAGTAGAGGCTAAATACTTAAGACATTTTGACTTGGAGTTGGTCCCGGTCCAATGCAAATGTTTATTTTTGGGTTATGCATTGTTAGATAAATTTGTATTATTTTAAATTTAAAAGTAGTATTGAAATTATTAATGTTTTCATCAGTTTTAAATGGACCTAAACTGTATTTAAAAAAAATAAATTTTTATTTTTTAATATTTTATATTATTTTAAGTGAAATATAGGTAGATAGCTCAATTAAGTTAAGTTATTAAAATTAAATAAATTCAATCAATTAAATAAGYTAAGTTAATTAAGTCAATTGTGTCCATCAAGTTAAGTTAATTAACTCAAATTAATAAATTATGTTAAGTTAAATCATTTATTTAAGCATTAAGTCATTTAAGTTAGTTAAGTTACCTATTAGGTCAATTAAGTTAATTTATAATAATAATAATAATAATAATAATAATAATAATAATAATAATAATGTCAATTAAATAAACTAAGTGATTTACATCCATCAAAGGATGTGGATCGGGTTAGGATCCCGTAGGCAAAGTAACCGTCATCTAACTCCCAAGGTTATAACCACCGTCTCTAAGATCTAAAGGATTGTGTAAAACTTTCAGTGTCTGCTTCTGCTCCAAATCCAAGGTATAAACCTCTAATGGGTGAAAGTGATGCTATAAACTAGTAGTAGACAAGCAGTATGAGAAAATAGTAGAAGTTGACATTTACTTTTATTCTTTTGTAAAGAACAACTGGATGCCCATCTAAGCAAGTACTTAGACCGAGTGCTCACCCCTACTGGCTACTAGGAACGAGGATCAAGGGAGAGACATTCAAACAACTCAATTTTTTGACCGGAAGCCTGTAGTTTTCCATTCCTCCATTGTTAACGGTATTTTTTGTAATTATAATATTACTCGCAGGACAAAATCGTAATATAAACTTAAAATATATTCCGTGTTTGGGGGGTTGTGCGTTTCTTCGTTGTTAATGCCTTTAATGGAGCTTATTCGATCATTTAGTGCTTACTTCTAACTTATCACTCCAAATTGGAAATTACAGAGAGCTGTTGTTAAAGGAAGTTTGAAGGAGGAATATTTAAAGGAAGAGCTGCCCATTTCAAAAACGCCGCCAGAATTCGTTGGTAAGCTGCGACCTTTAAAAGAGGAAACAGAGATTTTGAGAGAGAAAGAGAGAAACGAGAATCTCGCCTGGTCGTGGGCTTCGAGCAAAAGGGAAGCGTGATCCTTTTAGCTAGAGTTTTCCTGGATTTCGGTTTTCATTTTTCTGTCGTCGGATACCCTGTTTGAATTTCTGGATATATCGGTTTCTTAAAAATTCGTCTTTTTCCCGCTCGGAAGAGATGCTTCAGACTCGGGAAACCAGTCAGGAGTTCTTTAAATCGTGGAATTTTTTTGCATCCCCTGCAGAAAAAAACGGCGGCATATTCTCTCTAACGATGAAAGTAACATTTGTGGTTTTCCTCCTCGCTTCAACATCTCTCGTCTTCTATTCTGCATTCTCCAGCCAATCCCGATGGCTGAGATTCTCTCGATGCGAAGGCGGAGTTAACAACCCCGGTGACCAGAGTGAAACCGTCCGTCGTATTTCCGCCGGTGGCGATTACGGGAGGACGAACGTATCCCACATCCTGTTTGGTATCGGAGGCTCAGCAAAGACATGGAAGGACCGCCGGCATTACAGCGAGTTATGGTGGAAACCAAACATCACTCGTGGGTTCGTCTGGCTGGACGAGAAACCCGACGAGAAAGAGCCCTGGCCAGAAAATTCACCGCCGTATCGAGTTTCAGAGGACTCGTCAAGGTTCAAGTACACCAGTCGGTACGGCTCCCGGTCCGCAGTTCGTATTGCTCGAATCGTATTGGAGAGCTTCCGACTGGGGTTAGAGAATGTGAGGTGGTTCGTGATGGGAGACGATGATACGGTGTTATTCGTAGAGACTTTAGTATCGGTCCTATCGAAGTACGATCACAATCAGATGTATTATATCGGGGGAAACTCAGAAAGCGTAGAACAAGATGTTATACACTCGTACGGTATGGCTTTTGGAGGTGGTGGATTCGCCATCAGTTACCCGCTCGCTGCCGAGCTTGTTAAGGTGCTGGACGAGTGTATTGATCGGTACGCATCTCTCTACGGTTCTGATCAGAAGATCCAGGCATGCTTGAGCGAGATCGGGGTCCCCGTCACCAAGGAACTTGGTTTCCATCAGGTATTATTATTATGATATGAAAAATATATGATATAATCAACTGAAATCATAAATGTGATAAATTAGGTATTATTCATCAAAATTTAATCATGATAGCAAATTTAGTATTATTTATCAAAATTTATGAGGTAAATCAGGTGATTTTGATTGGTATCGAAAGAATTTTGACCAATTAAAATTCATGAGAGAATTTTGATAAATAATATCTGATTGGCTAATGCTTTTTTTTTTTGGAGGGGCTTCCACGTGGTTTCTCGAAATCAAAAAACTATTTTTTTTTTGTAAAACAACAGAATAACCCAYTTTTGCTTTCCGTTGAGAGTTGAGACTTCTTTTATGGTGGTTTCTCGAAACTCGAAGAAAGCAAATTCAACTAAAGCGGTATGGTAAAGCCTCAGTCCTCCCCAACAGAACAGACACGTGGTGGTTCATTCTCAGCTAGGGCAAATCAGTCGATACTCGAAAGCAATTCATGTCAGCGACGTTTATTTCCGGTAATTCGTCCGGACCGACGGACCGTCCACTTAGACCTGATGGATACTGTTATTGCTGTTGTGGAGTTGGGCCACCAACCACAACCACGAGCCCAATCCCCAAGACCGAGAGGGACCCTGCACCTAGGATTTTCTCCTAACCTAAGACGCTTCGTGACTGCCGCATTTGGATCTCCGTATAATCCGCTTCAATTTTCTCTCCTTTTTTCACTTTTTGTTATATTTCCCTTCTGGCTTCTGCCGTGTTTGTRTTGGATGCTTTAATGCGCTTCAAAATGTCACCATGAATGTTGATGTTGAAGGCACGTGGCAGGTGTCTGTGGATAGTTTGACCCTGCTCCTTAACATTGAAAAAGATGGACCCACTGGGTTCGGACTTCGGACGTTATGGATGCGAGCCACGTGTTTAGACATGCATTTATTCCTTTTCTTCCGTGTATGAATGCATGTACGGACGTGATGGGACTCACTTTATTCTCTTGATGCACAACGTTTCGAGTTGGCGATTGGCTCAATTTCAACAGAAAAGAAAATTACCCAACAAGAAGAAATCACTAACAGACAGTTGATATCAATTTCAGGTCGATATTCGCGGAGATCCATACGGTCTATTAGCGTCACATCCGGTGGCGCCGTTGGTGTCGCTCCACCACCTCGGCTACGTGAAGCCCTTGTTCCCAAACCAGACTCAGCTGGAATCGCTAAGATCGTTATTTGGGGCGTACAAGGCGGACCCCGGTCGAACCCTGCAGCAGAGCTTCTGTTACGATCTCGACCGGAACTGGTCTGTCTCCGTTTCTTGGGGCTACACCGCCCAGATATACCCTTACTTGTTGACGGCCAAGGAGCTGGAGACCGCACTGCAAACGTTTCGGACATGGAGGAGCTGGAGTAACGAGCCATTCACTTTCAACACTAGGCCCTTGAGTGCTCGACCATGTGAAAGGCCGCTCATTTACTTCTTGGACCGGGTCAATGATCAAGTAGGGCCGGGCCAGACTCTGACGTCTTATAAGAGGTTCGTGGAAGATCCCGGCAAAGTTTGTAACCAGTCTTACTACGACGCTGCGTTGACTGTACGCTCCGTGAACGTCTCTGCCTCGATATTTGAGACTGACGAATGGAAGAAGGTGAGAATTGTACTCGTCCATTTGCAATTTTGTATCGCTCAAATCATTACATCCATGAAAACATTCCTTTTGTAACTTACGCCGATGATGATTTGATAAGCAGGCACCACGTAGACAATGTTGCGAGATAACCCATGCACATGGAGTGGATAGCGTTGTTCAGATCAGAATCAGAAGCTGTAAACCCCGGGAATCCGTTACTCCGCCTTAGAGAGAGAACCCACAGGCCACATTGCTTCTCCTTCATCTCCGTGTAAATATTTGTTTATTCTATTTATTAAAAAAAAAAAGAAAATGTTAATCATACAATCAGCCCTGGTCGAAGGACTGTTACAGTCAACTCCTCGACCCAAGACACGTGGTGGGCTAGCGCTACGTTACGTGCTGAACAGGTCACATCTTGCAAACTATGCTCTTCCATTTCCGGTTCGCATTCAACCAGCTAATCAGGTAACGTGTGGCTGGACATCCACGTGTCTTGTTGTGGGGTTAGGATTTGGTTTTAGTTATTCACTTATTTGTGGAGACTGGAGAGAAAATACTTTTAAGAAGAAAAATGATATAAGAGTTAGATGTCTGATTTCTTTCTGACACGACTTCAGTCGGTGAAGGTTTTATGGTCTTGCATTTGTGAATATTTCCCAAATAAAGTATATAGGTATGGAGATATTGCCAAAGGCTGCTGACTGAAGCCGATTTCGGTTCATATTCATGTACTAGAACATTAGAACATTAAGAAAGAGAAAAGAGGAAACATTCATCCATGTTAATTTAACTTTATTCCTTTTGTCCAAATTAATAAATTTTGTTGCTGGAACCAACATTCAATGGGCTTACTGAGAATTTCTGAAATCCTTTAATCTCTAAATGTAGATAATTTTCAACTACTGATCATACTATAATCCCTTGKACTCTTGGAGTTTGGAGAGTAGAGCAACGGAAAGGTTGATCCCAAAATCCTTATAGGAAACAAAGTTTTACACATCATTCTCGATGGTAAGATCAATCGAGTGGTGGGTATTTGATTGAAGCTATGTGTGAAGTGTGAAAATGGATGGCTTAGAATTCATTTTACAAATAAGGTTGGAAACATCAAACATGGTCGTCAAGGCGACGCATGGATAGAATCTTAGTTAATGTAGGTCATAAATATTTTGTCCTTTAATTTGACCTTTTTGGCTAATTGTCCATTAATAACTTGACTTGATATTTACCTATGGAGGAGGTATGATACTTTTATGTATAAGGTAATTAAACCGTAACATAATTATTTATATAAATGAGGGATCATAATTCATAAAAGTTCTTTTTTTTTTAATTAGAGGGCCAAAATATGGGCTTTGCTTCTTTTTTTTTTTTTTAATTTCAATGGGTTGGGAGTTAAGGGTATGGGGATGGGCTACCCCGTTGCCAAGTTTTTCATGTGGTGTCATTTTATAGTTTTTTTTTTCTTTTTTTTTTGGTATGAAATCAACATCAAGTGACAGTAGAAAAGGATGCCATAKCCATCTTTAATTTGTTATCACTTTCAGCTGGATCAGGTTCCGTCCCGTAGATCCGTGAAGGCTTAATAATTCTCAACAGTAGCCCCGCAGATTCATGCCTCGGAGAAGTCCAAACGCTGAACTACATTAGGGCTTCCCACAATGTGAATCTTTTTGAGGGCCCAAAAACTCGTGCAACAAATCCTGATATCGACTCAGGATTGAACACGTGGCAAATTAGGGGCTCTACTTCCTCATACATTAAATTAGAAGCGTACTGTCCATGGTGATGTCAATTACCAAGTCGTATTTCATTATGGCGCATCTATAAGAATTAAGAATTAAGAAATTTTCAATATAAGAATTAAGAAGACCGTGGATGATAAATTTATATTCAGAATAATTTTACGTATATCAACAAATTCTGACGTGCTTTTTCAGTAACATTTTTGCTGATGTGCGTGGCAGAAAAACAAAAATAGGCATTTGCGTTTATTGTATATGAAACTATTATTTGGTTATGTGAGCGTTTATTGAAAAAATGCAATCGTATCAACGTTTTATAGCTGTTGGCGTTTATTATATATGAAAATATTGGTTTATTTCATAGCTTATTAAACAAATAAACAAAAAAACTGAAATGATTTGATTTATGTGCATGGGACATTTGGGGAAATGTAAAATTCTTGTCTCCCCCACCCCAATATTTCTTGAAATGAAATATTTATGTGACATATTTTGTAGAGTATTAATCTGAAGTGGAAAGTAAAAAATATTTAAAGTAATTTCCAACCAAATAACAAAAACAAGAAAGGTTAAAATGTTTAAAGTAAAATTGTACACACAAATGTTTAAAGCAATAAATAGGCCATCTATAAATGCCCATGGAGCAAAATTTATATCATCATTCATGGGGGAACACCCCCTTAATTTGAAGGATCATCTATTTACGTTCATCAAAGGAGTTCAATCGAGTTACAATCCTCTCCATTCGAGACCCGGAGAAAGCTCATAGTCGTGCACTACACACACATAACGATTAGACCTGTTAATGGGCCAAGTAGCACAACGGCCCAACCCCGGACGGGTTTGGACATATTACTAGGTCCTTGGGCCCAAGCTCGGGCCTAATGTTTTAAGCCTGGCCTAATTTAAAGCCGGGCTCGGGATTTTATATGAAAGCCCGGCTTGGCCCAACAATATATATATATATATATATATAATATTTTTTATTTTGTAAATCTAACCCTAATTCCAAATTTCTAATCAATACTCTCCCTCCCCCAACCTTTCGATAGCTCCCCTGAGTCCCTTCATTCCTCTACCCTTCTACGTAGCCGGCGATAGGGGTGAGCATTATTCGGTTAAAACCAAAAAATTCGGTTTCAATTTGTTCAATTTTTGGTTAATTCCACCCAGTTAATTCAGTAATTGAATATATCGGTTTTGGTTTTTAGATTTATAAATTCAGTTAATTGAATAAACTGAACTTTAGTATATAATATGTAATATATAATATGTAAGATATAATATATAATATGCAACATAGAATATATAATATATTATTTATCTATATTTTAATATATTAAAATAATGAAATTTGATTTCATAATATATATTATATATTTTATGTTATAATATATATAATATTGAATATATTATTAAAATTCAGTTTTAACCGAAATAACTRAACTAAAAATTTTGGTTTCGGTTTTTCTAAAATTTGATTTTGATTCGTTTTTATTTTTTCAGTTCAGTTTTTTAAATTTTGGTTTATTTGGTTTGGTTTTTAACCAAATAAACCGAATGCTCACCCTTATATGGTGAGCATCTACTGGAACAAACCCTAGTAGTTGCGGCAACCGGAGTAGACCCCCAAGTCTCCTCCTCATCTCAACCCTTCTATGCAACAGGCGAGAATCCACCGGAGCAAACCCCAGCAGCTAGGGGTGGCAATTTTTCAACCCAATCCACTAACCCGCCCAACCATTAATTGGTGGGTTGGATTGTATCCACTTAGTCCCGGGTCGGGTGGGTTGGGTAACCCAACAAGGGAGAGGCTTAATTGTTTGGGTGGGTTGGGTCATGGTTATCCAATGGATAATCCATTAGCCTCTTCATATTTCCATAGGCATTCTCTCTATTGATCTATTCCCATTCGTCTTTTCTATTAGACAAATACCAACGTTTAAAAAATGACTCAAAAACGAAACCGTTCTAGCCACCAGTTTCCATTTTGATGGTTTGACCGTYCGGTTCGACAGACGATCCGTTCTGATAAAAATTTAAAAAAATAAAAAACAGTCAAAACCATTGAATGGGTTGACGGGTCGACGGTTCGACCACTCAGGTCAACGGGTTATTGACTTTTTCAACAGTTTTTTTCCAAAAACTGGGTTTGGGGTAAAACGGAACCGCTTACCTGGACGATTCCCGGGCCGAATGGTCCAACTGTCCGGGTCAGCAGCAGTTTGAAAACCTTGGGAGAAAAGAAATCATCAATGTTTTCGAACTGCCATTGACCCAGACGATCGAACCGTTTGGCCCGGGAACGATCCAAGCAAGCGGTTCCATTTCACCCCAAACCCGGTTTTTGGCCAAAAACCATTGAAAATGTCAACAACTCGTTGACCCGTCGACCCATTCAATGGTTTTGACCATTTTTTATTTTTTAATTTGTTTGTCAAATCAACCTGGAAACCGGTGACTAGAACGATTCCATTTTCAAGTCGTTTTTTAAAATGTTGTTTTCTCCAATGATTTGTAATTGTAAATGGTGATCAAATCGATTAAGGAAACAACATCAAAGGCTTTCTGAAAGCGGTAGCAAAGCCCTATCTTTTTTCTGATTCATCTATTTCATCTTTCACTTCTTAATAGATGCTCAACAAACCGAAAAAATCASAGCRCACAACGATGAACTCAAGGGTTTGGGCTGGGTACTGTAATTGATGATGAGGTACATGAGCTCCCACTCCAACGTCATTGCCAATTGCGAAGAAATACTCAATGTGAGCCCTTTCACCTATATAAATATGGTTTCTGCATATTCATGTTTTTGTTTTTTGTGTGGTTTTTTGTTATTTTTCTACAAATTTTCCTTTATTTTTTATTTTTTTTATGATTTTTGTTATATTATTTTACAATTTTGTTATTTTTATATAATTTCTGCTTTTTTTTGTAATTTCTAATAGTTTTCTATATTCTCTGTGTTGTAATTTTCACAGTAATACTGTTTTTTCACATGTATAGAAAGGACAACGAAAGTTGCATTTTCTATTTTTTCAACTTTTTATATAATTTCTATTAATTTTATGTATTTTTGTGTTTTTGTTTAATTTCTATTTTATTTTCTATAATTTATATTATTTTTATGTAATTTTTATTATTTTATCTAAATGGGTTGGATTAGGTTCAGGTAGATTTTGATTAAACCCAACCCATTTAATTCTATCTAATTGGATCATTAATGGGTTGACGGGTTAGATGGATTGGATTGAGTTTCAACCCAACCCAACCTGACCAAATTGCCACCTCTACCAGCAGTGGCAACCAGAGCAAACCCCTGAGTCCCCTCCTCATTCCTCAACCCTTCTACGCAGCCTGCAAGCATCTACCAGAAAAAACCCTAGTAGCGGCAACGGGAAGCAAAACCCTACTCTCACATCCTGCATTACCGGTATCGGGCAACCAAGATCGACGATGACTGACTGGACCTCAAACTAATGGTAAAGCCTTTATTGACTAGGCTTTGTTTCTGTTCTCTCCCGCTCTTTCCTGTAAAAGATGAAAATTAGTGRGTTTCAATCTGCATTAGTCTATCGGATTAGTATCGAAGCAACAAAAACAAATAAAGCCGGAGGTTTCTAGTTTGGGTTGCTAATCACTTTGTTTGCTAAATTTATTTTATTTTCTTACTTTTTCTTTGTACATGTTACAGCTACTGTGATGTACTGTAAGTCATTTTGATTGTTTGTTCATTTTATATCTGAATTCTGTGGTTTCTTTGTATATGGTCATTTCTTTGTGAAGAGTGAAAACTTAGGAGGACAGTTATGAAAAGGTCTAATAACATTGACACCCAGTTGAAAGGCCGGCCCATGAACAGGTCTAATAACATTTGGTATATCCAGTTGCAGAAACGTAAGGGTAATTCTTTTTTTTGGTAAACAAAACGTAATGGTACTTCAGTAAAAACAGAGGACAGTTATGAAAATATATTCAGTTTCTTTCCCTCAATATCCAAGTGTAGTTGACTTGTCCCCCTCCTCAAGCAAGAGAGTCTTGTGGTCACGTCACGTTAGTCCTTCGTTCTCCATACATGTCCTAATTCTCACCTCGGAGACGTTCATTCCAGAGTTACCGACAAAATCACAGCATTCTCTTCTTGTTCCAATCTGCAGAGAGAGAGAGAGAGAGAGATCAGTAAACCAACATCCCTACTGCTTTGTATTGCTAAAGCTTGTGAGCATCACGTACTCACCCAGTCGAGCCTCTTTGCAGAGGAGAATACCCGAACCTCTGAGATCCGATCGGCGGAGTGATTGCCGTTTGAGGAACAAGGCGGTAACCATCGTGGAGATCTTCGAGTGTAAGTTGTAAGAAATTCGGTTGCGCTGGCTGGAACTACGGATTGAAAAAAGAAGACATGGGGAGCTTCGCATGGATGACGGGATGGGGGCCTGGTGTTGAACACGAAAGCAGGCCTAGCCCAGCTGCTAAATGGCTTGAATGTCTCGATCGGCATCTGTAAAATGCTGGGGTACTGAATTCTCTCATAAATATGTGCAGAATATCCCCAAGAGATGGATAAGCTCCAGCTATTGTTCTTGTCGTAACAGATGGTTTGTTGCAGGAGACGAGAAGAATCGGCTTCCGCAGCYTTCATAAGGTGTCTTAGGGATTGATAACGATCCATGGAAGGGAAGATGGGTTCCACCACGTCAAGGTGGTGGAGGGAGATGAAGGGAACCTGTGGATGAGCTGATAAGAAACCTGATATGTCCCCACGCAGATCGATCTGTACATGGCAAACCAATTGCATGCAACTTCATTGTTTCTAAATATACTCTTGTAAGTTGTAAATGAAAAAAGGAAGAACAAGAAAGCAAGTTAATCACCTGATGAAAACCYCGTTCATGAGTTAACGAGATCCCCAACTCAGAAATACAGGATTGTAGTATATGGTCACTCCCAAACAAGGTGGGATATCTCTTGACGCACTCGTCTAAATGACTGACCACCGCCTTTGCCAGAGGGTAGCTCAAAGCATAGCCAGCCCCACCAAATGCCATTTCGTATGAGTTCAAGGCGTTGGCTGAAGTGCACTCCGAGCTATGGCCGATGTACAAATAGTTGTTATGATCGTAGGTAGAGAGGAGCTTCACTAGATTATCAATAACGAGGACTGTGTCATCATCAGCCATCACATACCATCTCACATCCTCATGATCCTCCCTGAAAGTCTCCAAGATCACACGGACCATTCGAATTGCAAATCGCATCCCGTGTCTGTCGTAATCCTTGAATCTTCCGGTGTCCTCAGAAACCCGAAAGGGAGGAGAAGATGGAGACCATGGGAAGTAGTCTGTGGGAAATCTTTCTAACCAGACGTATCCCCTGGTCACGTTTGGCCTCCACCATGCTTCAATGTAATTTCTCCTGCTTCTCCAAGTACTCGCAGAACCGGCTATGCCGAACACAATGTGGCTAATGTCAGTAGGAGTGGTGGGTTGAATGGCAGAACTGCCATGAGCATAAGAGTTCCATCCCTTACTAAAGGAAGAAAGGAGGTGAGAAGAAGATTGACAGCAAGGATAGCTAGATAGGAGAATGTAGACTAGTGAGAAGACTAGTCCAGCAATTAGCAGTGATTTGCATAAACCTCCTCTACCCATGAACGTTGCTGAACCTAGAGCTATTTACTGTAAATGGATGGGATATCCGATTTCCGGATTTCATATATATAGACTTTCAGGGCGATATATATGAACATTTTCAAGATTAAATCTTAGTTATCGCTTGATGATGAGCCAACCAAATTAATTTATTGAATTCAATATTGGGAACGTAGTACTTATGAAGTCTTTGAAATTCAACATGGACCAATCTATCGTGCATTAGAGACATAAGAACATATAGTTTACACTTGACGAGGAAAACCTAGTCTAGCTAGCGCTCCAAAGATATATACCATTTTTTACACTCTTGACTGTTTTTTTTAATCAAGCCCCTATAAGATGAAATGAAAAAAATAAAAAATATTAAGTTAGAAATATGATAGACATTATAGTGTGTAATAGGGATAAGGATACCACCAAAGGCACGTATGTTTTAATCCGATTTGCTTGGTCGAGACTTGTGACCCTTAGTTTTTAGGGTATACCGGAAGATTACTTAACCTGTATGGAAATAACATGTTTGGAAACCTACAAGCAAAGAAAGAAAGAAGACTTTTTGGAGACAAGGTAATATATCACATGAACTGTTTATTTTTAGTGTTCAAGTTAAATTTGAGATTCTTCAGAGATAAGTTACTGCATGAGTTGACGTGATATAATAGCCTATTAACATGCATGTGAAATTGAAGTGTGGCTATAGGGCTGCAAGTTAGACTGGGTTAGGTCGGGTTGAGGCTAACCCTAAYCCAATCCTAAGTTCTAAACCCCCAATCCTAACCCTAATCCAATCCAACCTTCGATCCGATCAACTCAACCCTAACCCTAACCTTAACTAAATTCCTTCAATCCTAACCCAATCCAAAGTCAATTTCGGGTTGGGCCCAACCCAACCTTCTTTCCATCCCTTAAAACCTCGAAATTTCTCGATTTTAGATCTTAACTCAACTTTCAGTACATATATTAATCATATGTTTCATTAGTACTTGTTTGTTGACATTTTTTTTGTTCTTTTGGTACAAAATTCAGAAAAACAAGTGTTATGACTTACGATAGATCTTTCTTGGGTGGCAAACAACATAGAGGAGATGAAGAATAAAATTTTCAAAAAACATAAATTAATGTTATTAAGGTTTTAGTCTTTCTCATTAGTATAAGTGAAGTGATTATCTTAAAAGAAATATGTGATACTATGTGGTGGGGCTATACAAATACCATGCATTTAAACAAATCAATGTGTTATATATTACATATAACATATATTTATATATGACATGTACTATAGAGTCTGGTTGCCTAAGTCAAACCTAACCCAACCTGAAGTAAAATTGGGTTCATCAATTTCAACCCTAACCCTATCCCAAACATCAATCCGACCCAACCCAACCCAACATTTTCGGGTTGGATTAGGGTTGGATTCGGGCCAACCCGGCCCAAGTTGCAGCCTTATGTGGCTAGCCTCATCAACTCCAAGCCCATTTCAAGCAAATGAACCAATTGCCCTAGGTGGGCCAGGATTGCAGTCCATTTATCCCAAATTGTTGTTGAAATCGTAGATTTGTTTTTGTTTCTGTTTCGTATGTGGGTATAGCACGGTGTACTAATCAAACTCTACATCTTCATTCAGCCTGATTAGGTGGGCCCAACTGCAGAAACCTAATGTTTCAACTTGGGTCGCACAGGCCCATGCCCAAAACCAAAATGGGCTGGGCACGAATTACCATTGGTTGGGATTTAGGTTGAGGCTTTCTTAAGCCCAGCAATGATCAAGTATATCTGGGATTTGTATAGATATGGATGTATCAACATAATAATGGTTTGGCTTATTCTTTCTTAGATAGAGTGATCGGTGAAAACCATCAAATGACTTTTAAATCCCTTCTTACCATCTGACTCCATTTAGAAAGTATTTAAGTAAATTAAAATAAGTTTAAGAATGGCGGAGCCCAAAAAATCCTCTCTATTACTTTTTTTTTTCTGCAAATCCTCTCTCTTACTTGAAGAAGAAAAAAGGGAATGCCAATTTGGGGGTGTTTAAGGTTTAATTAACAACATGGTTGATTTTGATGACACGGCAGTTATTTTTGTTTTCAAAAACAAAACCATATTGTCGAACACCCCTTGGTGATCCGGTCTGGGGTAGGCCTTTTTGATGACTCATTGACCTAGCTTAGATCATATTGTCGGCATGAGAATGTTTTTGAAAACGAACTGATCCTATTAGTTTCTTAAAAATTCAAAACAAAACTGAACCGAATTAATATATATATATAAGTCAGCTCAGTTAATCTTATTTTTCAGTTGAAACTATTGAAGCAAGTATTATTGGATTAAAAGCAAAACAAGGTAACCTGTTTGTGCTATATACAATATGGGATCTTGTATTCTCCATAGCTTGAATCATCCTAGAAAATCGATGCATTGTTGGATTAAGGCTATGTTTGGGAGTGTTTGTTAAAAATAACTGCTTAAAATAAGTGTTGATTCAAATAAGTACTTATTTGTATTTGACACCCAACTTTCTCAAGTGTTTATTTTAAAAAATAAGCATTTATTTCATATTGGGCATTTGATGGTCTTTTTCTCTAATCAGTATTTAAACAATCAATTGTGACTCTTTTGTCCTTCATTTTCTTTCAAATTTTCAAAATGTCCAATCCAAAGTGAATGAATAAAAGTACTTCGGTAGAAGTGATTTTATAAAAGCACTTTTATAAAAGTGTTTTTGTAAAAGTGCTTTTATAAAAATACTTCCATAAAAGTGCTTTTATAAAAAGTATTTTCATAAAGTGCTTTTATAAAAGTACATTCACAAAAGTATTTTTGTAAAAGTACTTTTATTGGAGTACTTTCATAAAAGTACTTTTGTAAAAGTATTTTCACAAAAATAATTTATGAAAGTGCTTTTATAAAAGTATTTTCCTAAAAGTACTTTAATAAAAATACTTTCATATAAAGTTAATTTTATAAAAATACTTTACTAAAAGTGCTTTTGACATTTGACCGATAATGGTCAACTTAGTAAGAAAAAATCAGGCTGTTGACATTTGACAGCCTATGCTTTGCACAGGCCTCTACCTCCTTGATCCATGCGAGAGTATTAACCGTTCTGAACTCTGAAGGCAATGGCATGACTAACGTGTCACGTTGAGTTAACCTGTGGATAGTACTATCCACAAGCTGTGGAAGGAGGCCAGATTGCCAAAGTTTTCTCTAATTGTTTGCTTTTCGAGAATCTAATTGGTCATTTGGTCAAACTTTCAAGAACATCATTTAACTTTTAAAACCTTGGCCCTTTCCAAAGATCAGAGTTCAAGTTCACTGTAGAGTGTATACTACCTGCCTTTCTCTACCAAGGAAAATTTTATGTATAATTTGTTTCTTTTATACGTAAAAAATAATTAAGTATTTATTATAGACCATAGCTAGGATGATCTAATATTGAATATTCTATTCTTTGTTTTATTTTGAAAGCTGGAATCTTGATGGAGGCCCATCTCACTCCTAGGGGCGGCAGCTCCTAGGATAAGGCCAAGAGTCCAAGATAAGCCAAGAAAGGATAATTCAAGATCCATCAAGACTCTTCCAAGACTCCAAGACTTGTCAAGAATCCAAGCTTATCAAGACTCTTCCAAGATTAGCAAGAATTCAAGACTTCAATCAAGA